ACTATTTTAAAGACAAGATACCAAGGGATTCCTGAAGCCAAAGCCCATAATAAGGCTTTTAAACCTATAAGGCAGGTCCAGTTTTAGGCTTAATTGCCTTGACAGCATCTCTAATAAAGCAGAGCTTTCTATTTAAAAGACAAAAACGGAAAAAAAAGGGGAAAGAAAAAAAGGAAAAGAAGTTGCTGTAAGTTATTCACACTCCCTCCCTGCTCTGCTTCGGGCAAATTTATACAAATCACTTTAAAACAACCCAGAGAGGTGAGTTGTGGGATTCAACCTCCCAGCAGTCGAGGGTAATTCCAGCGGTTGGGATACTTCACAGAAGGGAACCTCGGGCTGGGGGGGTCCCTGGTCCCGCAGAGATGGGTGGCAGCTTTACCTGCCCCGTGGTCCCATAGGAGACAGAGTTAATCCGATGATCTGTGGTGTCACGTTGGGATGGAAAACGGAGAGCAGCCGCCCCGGGATGCCTGGCCACGGCAGTCACCGACACTGCCCGCACGCCGTGCTGGTTACAGCCACCCTTGTCCCAGCTCTGCTTCCCCTGCCCTCCCTCGGCTGTTTAGGAACTGAAGAAATGGTCGTCAAGGGAGGGAGGGTGTGCTGGGACTGCACAGCTGCATTTACGTGAAGAGTGGGAAAAAGTCGAGGCGGGAGCTTGTCTTTGGGCAAACCGGGGATGGGCACGGCAGCGGCACGCTCCGGCTGAGTGCCCGGTTCTGGAGACAGCAGGTCCCCACACCAGCTTTTCCTACCCAGTGCCCATCAGACCACCAAGTCCTTTCCTAAAATCCTTTTTTTCTCCTTTAATTTTTAACCAGAGATTATCATTAAGCATCTCAACGACCTGGTGCACATCCAGTCAACATTACCACTGCTCAGGAGCCAGCAGAGCCCTTTCCCCCCCTCCCCTTAATTCTCCAATCATTTTTTTAAATTATTTTAATAGCACAGCAGCACCAGGTTTCACTATTTTCTTTCTCCTTTCTAGAAACAGTGAAAATTTCCTTCTCTCTCCTGAAACAGAGACCAGCAGCTCCCGGTCACCCGTCCACAGTGTTGCCTTCGCTTCAGCCCAGATGGTGGAGGGTCAAGCACTGACAGCTGGCCCGGCAGCACAGCAGCAGGGATGTAATTATTTTTAATTTAATTTTAATGGAGATATAGGAACGAATGTGCAAAACAACAACTGTTTTTGTAAGACGGGTTTGTTCGGTCCCTGCAAACTCAGAGAGAAAACCAGCACAAGGTGAAGAGCTGCGGCAATCGCCCACGATAAGGTGCAAGACCCAGGCAGATGGCATCAGCTGAATAAAGTCCCCAGACTGTCACAGACACCCACTTCTGCAGCCTCTAATGCAGGGAAAAGCAAGGATGACACCTCTCTGGCCAGCATCACCCCTTCCCCTCCCCCAAATCCCACCCAGCACCATGAACCCCAGATCCCCGCAGCCCGACGCAGAGCCCTGGTTTGGCAGCACATCGCCGTCCTCACGAGGGGACGACTCATCCCGAGTGAAGCAAATTGCAAGCGAAACGGCTATCAGCACTTTTCTCCCCTCCAGGAAAATTGACTTTAATAATTTGGACAACTTGAAAGGCTCCTGCCACAGGGTAGGAGGTAAATATTCATGAGGGAGCGTTTCCAGGGCGGGCGCAGCGGGAGCGCTGCCTTCCCGGGGGTCTCCACATTCCCCCCTCCTTTCCTTACATCCCTTCATCCTTCACAGAGGCAACTCCTGGAGCTATTCCTATTGCTTTGCTCGATCTGAATGATAACGATGAGCAGTGAAATGGGGGAACGGCAGGCGCAAAGGTCCGTAGCTCTCTAGGCACTTGCAGGATGCTGCTCTCTGGGTTTATCTTTGCTGCACGTCAGGTCCCAGCACCGTCACGCATCTCCAGCAACCTCAACCTCCCGCTCCCAAATCTCATCTCCCTTATCTCAGTTTCCCCTTTCCCCTTGAGATTCCCAGGGGATCCCTCAAAGGCACAGCTCTGCCCTGGGGAAATGCCTACCATGCTGGGTACCAAAGCAAGGTGGGAGCACGCGTCCCCCCAAAGCTGCAGAGGAGGAGGATTTCTGCTTTGTACGTGCAAATAATTTCAAAGGGGAAGCAAGGAAGGAAAAGCAATTAATGCTCAAAAGGGAGAGCCAGGGCACCAGCAATCGCTGCTGATATCAGTTCCCACAAACCCAGCGGTGGGGAGATCGCCCGGCCACCTCCTCCGAGCCATACCTGGGTCCTCACGATGGTTTTGATAGCAGCTTCAAACTCTTCGGAGTTATTGTAGTCAACAGTCCACACGTGCGGCTTCCCGATGAAGTCTTCGGCATACGGGTGTTGGGAGGAGACCTAAAACGCAGCAGCGTCGGTTGGTTTTTGCAATCCCTGCCAGAATGCTCACGGGCGTGACGGCAGAGAGGAGCAGCAGGCTCAGACACAGACACCTTGGGTTTTAACCCATTGCCCAGAGATGTGCTGGAAAAAGGTTCCCTCTGAACCCAGCTACCCCCCGACCTCAGGCTGATGCTCTTAAAATTCCAGCTGGGTTGGGATGCCCCATTCCCATCAACACTGAAATCGTCTCCACAGCCCTGACTATCTCCATCTCCTTAATAGGGGTACAATTCAACCTTGACCTGAGCCATTTGTGGGTCTGGAGTAGCAAAAATAGACCAAAACAGCAAAGGTCTGTGAGGGCACCACGTCTCCCAGGTTTGCCAGCTCCAGAAACAAAGCAGAGAGAAAAATCCATCACCACCAAAGGCCGGGGAAGTCTGACACCCCGAGAAAGCGGTGCTGGAAGCTGCCTTGTCCGGATGCCACAGGCAGCCCCACACACTGGTACCCCACAGCCATCCACCTCTCACCAGGCAATTTTTGGGGATCTACCTCTTTCGTTTCAGCCCCTGAGCTGCCTGTTTAGCCCCACGCTGCTGCGAGGCAGCCAGAGCCCAGATCTCCTCTCAGGAAGGGAAGAGAGAGGATGCTGAGCAGAGGAGGTGTTTCGGGGGCACCGCGAAGCATTGCAGAAAACCTGCCAGCTGGAGGAGGACAGCAATGCATGCTCTGTATTTTATTCTCCAGCCTGCTGTCTTTTCCTATTTTTTTTTTTTTTTTCCTGACAAATTGATCACCTCCTTCCCCTCCGGTGTATAAACACCCTGGGGCATTTTCACACCCCTTGCCCCCAGCTGCCCTCCTGGCTCCAGGCTGAAGCACAACCACAGCACCCACCCGGGATGGGTGCTAACACCAGCAGCTAATTAGGGGGGTGCATGGGACAGACAGGGGGATCCAGGACAGCCCAGTGCCCCCCACCCCATGATGGGTGCCACCGAGCCAGGCTGCGGCAGGGCTGAGCTGCACGGTCCCCCAGCAAAGCCCTTCTTGGCAGGAGCAAGCGTTGCACTGCATTATCCACTTTATTAATAATAAAAGAGGCAATTTTCTCAACCCTTTAACTTTTAAAGAGTTCCTGCTTCACTCTAGATTGAATTCCCAGTGACAGGCAAGCCTGGGAGGGATTTCATACCCCTGAAACACCACAGAGGCCCCAGTGTCCCTCTGGGTGCACAAAAGGATGAACAGGGGGGCATCACCCCGGTTTGGGAGCAGGGTATGGGGTGTGCGTGGATCTGGGCTGATGGGGAAGGAGCTGGGGTTTGTGGTTTGCAGAAATCTCCTGCACCACCTTCTCCTTTGCAACCCCAAACCCATGGCAGGGCCCCTTGCATCCAAGCGCTCCGGATGCAGACGATGCGAGGATGGGAGAGGGGAGGGACCCCATCTGAAGGTATCTGCACTTCTGCCTTTGGAGGAAATCTCGCCAAAATAAAAAATAATCTCAGTTTAGCAACTGCTCTTCCTTGGGCTGGTTTGAACCCCAGCGTAAAGGGGGTGGCTCCATCCAGCCCATCCGATCG